TGTGTGTGTGTGTGTGTGTGTGTGTGTGTGTGTGTGTGTCGGTCACACATACTCACAGCCAGCTGCCGTATCCATACTGGATGCTGCCCTTGAACACTGCAGACACATTGCTTATCTCCATGGCGATGCCTTCACCTGGATGCAGCTCAAACGCGCTCTGACCAATCGACAGGTTGTGAATCTCCAAACTGGACGGTGAAGGACGGACACGCTTTTTCACCATGGGTGTCACATATATGTTTATAGTGTGTGTGTGTGTGTGTGTCTCCTCACTTGTCCAGGCCGTACATGACCTTTCCAATGAAGAGCAGGGACTTCTCCCCCTTCATGCTCGGGTATCGGGCGTGTTGAAAAGCAGCCTCGATCACTTTAGTGGTTTTCTCATTCACTGCAAAGATAAAAGCACGTGTGCTCTAAAACACCACAGGGTTGTGATCTGTGGTGACCTAATCTGACAGATGAATACTTCCCATTAAGTAAAACTTTCAGAACTGGCTGAAAACAAGTCTTATTTTCCATTTAAATGTTTTAATCTTTTTGTTTTATTAGCACCAAATTGCAATAATCACATGAATCAACTTCATAAGACCCTAAAACATCAGTGAGGAGAAAAGAAACTTAAACACAAGCAGACTGAGGTTTGTGGCAGATAGATGTGACGTGCACTTCACGTGACGACCAACTGAATGAAATCATGTTAAAGCTGCTGCTGCTATTTCACTGCAAACAGGGAAAACTATCCGGAAACTTCACTGAATGTATGTGTTTGAATAAAATCGTCACTCTGTTCCTGCTCTTTGGTTCCAGAAAGTCGCTGCTTGAGTGGATGATTAGATAAAATCAATAAATGGAGTCAAATCAATTCCAGGAAAAAAAGACTCACACACGACAGCAGCGGGGTAGGTGAGCCTGCACACAGCTCCGGTGAATCTGTAGGCTGAAGCGGGGTCCTGCAGGCAGCAGTGGGATGTGCCGAACCAGGACAGCAACGACAGCAGCAGCAGCGGGACTTTGCCGGGCATCGTGCATGAGGTGGTTTTCCCTCTCTGAGAACTGGCTGAGGTGTCTAACCCTGTGGACGGTTCTGTCGGAGCACAGCAGGTGAATCCTGGTTCCCTCGGTTCTGGCTTTACTAACGGATCATCAGGAACATGGAAAACTGTGCTCCTGATATCTGTGCTGACAGAGAAAGACAAGTCTTGTGCTTCAGACTCGTTGAAAGGACAAACACTGACTCAGGTCTGTCCCCGTTAAAGTAAACTGATCAAAGTCCAACCTGTCCTATCACCTCAGGTATGAGCACAGACTCTGGAGTTTTGAGCTCTTCAGCAGGACAAAGAATGCATCCCTTTCTTTTCAAACTGGGACAAAACAAGAAGCAGAAGGCAACACTGCCTGCATACGTACCCCACAAAGACGCCTTAAAAGTGAGCAAAAGGACACGGAGCCTCTGATTCCAGCCTTTCCTCCTCTCATCAGGGGACTAACATTCAGGCCCAGCGTTCCTGAATAAATGCAGGGTCACAATGAAACAGGAGCTCCCTGTAAGAGGAGACGAAAGGGGAGGTACAGCTGACGGAGCCTGGACGTAACAACAAAGGGGGCACTGATCTAGCTGGGGCCTTAACAGGAATCAATAAGTGTGGGTGTTTTATGTGCGATGGCATCAGCTGACTTTATTGATTGGTTCTTCCACTCTAAAAACACGAGTGTGAGACAGAAACGAGAGGCTGTGGGAGGCACAAGTTCACCAACCTGGACAAAGGCAGCCCGCTCTCAGCTGCTGCAGATGATTGGTCCAGTGACACGAAGCTGCTTATTGCTCTGTTCCTGAAAGGTCTGGACACACTGCAGGTACTCCGAGCTCTGAAACCAAGTGTCAAGCAAAACATCTACATGACTGAAGAAACGTCGCTCATCAGTCCGCATCTTCTGTGCTTCTGCTATCAGCACATGAACATGAGCTCACTGCATGAGGATCCAGCGTGGCTGTCTGCATCCAGGTGGATGAGCTGGTTGCTGTGGTAACGTGTCAGCTCCAGTTTGATTCCCACACGTTACCTGTTTACACTGAGGGAGGAGGCTGGAGCAGAAAACTCTGGAGGCAGAGCTACAACATGCGTTTTCTGGACACTTATTCATCAGCTACAATGGTAAATGGCCTGTATTTATATAGCGCTTTACTAGTCCCTAAGGACCCCAAAGCGCTTTACATATCCAGTCATCCACCCGTTCACGCACACATTCACACACTGGTGATGGCAGCTACGTTGTAGCCACAGCGGCCCTGTGGCGCACTGACAGAATACAATAACACCATATGGAAAAAGAAGACTGCCCCCTGGTGGTGAAAGGTTTGACTTCGCTTGCTTTTCCCTTTACCAGGAAATTTTGCACTACCTAAATAATTATTTCTGACTTCTAATGCAATAACCTGTGTTTGTATCCGATTACATTTTAATTTCAAAAGGAAATACACTAAAATTCCATTTAATAACAGGAGGCTTACACCCCTTGGATGCAGGCAGAGCAGCCAAACTTTGCATTGGCCTGTTTTTAACTAGTGGATTCTACTTTGTATTAATTTTTTGCAGTCGGCAAATCAAGCCAACCTGCAAATATAATTGTTAGCTTGCTGTGCTGAACCTGTTTGTACTGTGACTGTGCCTGCAGGCAGCACATGCAGTGGGGGGACTTGAGCCTCAGTATGTTTAAACATGCGGTCATCAAACATCAGAAGAAACAAATCCACAAAATAAGGAATCATTAAAGTTAAGAATATTTATTGCATCCATTATTGGAAAACACACTTCACTGTACAGCATTCATCCATTTGTAATGGAAAGACGATTAAAAAAGAAATTTCCAATCGCAGACTGTGACCCACGAGCGACCGTCGTCCCCTCACAGGGAACCGGAGTGCTAACACCCGGGGCTTAAGCGCTAAGCAAACTAGACTGGATTACAGGAAGGGCTGTGACCTTTAACCTCTGCTAAAAGCTGCTTCTTTTCAGAGGCATTGTTATGATATTAACATCTGTTTATTCTCTTCTGAGGACCAAAGAAAAAACCCAAAACAAGCACAGCTGATGAACTGAATTTCAGTTTCACATCAAGTCACACTTTAAAACGAAACTTTGTCCAGTCTCTGACAGTAAAAGCAACTCGGCATTAATAGAAATCACAACCTCTCTTTGCATAAGATACATGTTATAAAGTGCTTCGTGTACATACAATACAATTACAAAACGTATTTTAAGCTGCACCGCCATCACTGTTTTACAGATTGATTTCAAATTGTATTTGGTCACAATTGCCACTCACTGAAAGGGAAAATAACATGAGTAAAGTGTCGTTTTCACTTGTGTTAATGTGGATGTTTGGACAAACCTTCAGCTTGTTTCTGATTAACTATAAAAAGTGTAAGGAAGCAAATAAAGGTCCCTAAATATATGAATAACAGAAATCCTTATATATACATATAATTTTGAGGACCCTGATTTTAAAAATTCAATGCGAAGATAAGTTTAGCCGCTTTTGGAAGAGGCGAACGTTTCAGTCCGATTGAGTGTTACAGACACCCGTGCACCCACGCGTCCTCGGATGAGCCGAATACTGATTCACGGAGCCGGGCCACGCAGCGACCACGGCGTGGCACATGATTTTAAATCAGAAGGCATGTGGATGTAAACGTCGTTACATGAAGAGCGTTTTAGGCACAACAGTTTCAGCTTTCAGGAGGATTATCGGCACCCGCTGCCACTTTGTGGACAAAAGGAGGGAACGATCAGGGTGGGGGGCTGGTGGCAGGCAGTGGATGTATGTGGTCAGGTCGGCTGGGATCCTGTTGGAGGATTTATTAATATATTTTCAGGTCTTGCATCTTTGATTCTGTCCACATTTTTTGGCAGTTCTTGGGATTCTTGCTGGTGTGGTTTGCTTCCCGCTCACTTGAAAGATCAAAGTCACAGGAACTCTGAGCACTGAAGTGCAGCGCTCTGTCTGCATCCATTTATTATTCGGTAAACGCCTTCCACCCACGCTTCAAGAAACATCTGCAGAGATGACAGAAGAGCGGGAACTGTCTGCAATCAGTCCTCCGTCCCAGATGTTCAGTTAGGCCACAGCCTGAGCGGCCTCGGGTACGAGGGAGGAGAAGAAGGTTTTGAAGAAAACCCAGGCCGTCCACATGACGGACACTCGGTGAGGAGGCACCAACACCGCTGTCATCGTTCCCTCTGATCCTTCAGCTGCTGGTTCATCCTGCTGTCTGTCGGCGTGCTCACCTGCCTGAGGAGACACACGTCACACATCAGCCTGCAGCACTTAATTCACCCACTACAGCAAACATCAGGGCCTGTGTGCAGGTTAGCGACTCGACCTGACCCGGGTCTCTCTGCTAGCTCATTTCAAAAACATTCAGTCTTTTCTCAGTGTGCAGCATTTAGCTGGAGTTTCATCAATGTAGGAAAAAGTGAACAAGAGAGAAAAATGATGAGTTTCTTACTGGATTCAGGTTTGGGTTCCTGTTCTGGTTCTGCTGGTTCTCGGGGGGCTGCAGCTGGTTGGGTTCTGGGACCTGCACTCTCCTTCTGAAGGGAAACCAGCCGACGGTGTGTCTGGAAGACAAGGCAGGAAATTCATGGGTTACAAGGAAAAGCTAACCATCTATAATCCTGAAAGAAGCTCCAAAGGTCTGTAACGTCACATCGTGGTTGGAGCTTCCTGCACGTGATGCCCACATAGAGCTGCCAGTGCCTGGTTTCAGCACGCTAGTCTCCATCAGAACGCTGGATCAAGAGCTCAGGCCTGTGGTTATAAACTTCTTGCCCCCCATTTTCTGCTCCCTGTGGTTAAGGAAAACTGCTGCACCACCTAAACACCAGTTAGATAAATCTGAAAGTGAACACTAGGGGTCAGCAGCGGGCAGCTGGGTGCAGCACAGGGCTCGAAAACATGATCTCACAGAACTCGATACGAGTCATTTATTGAGAAAAACTAAATGTCAGATCAGATTTCTGCTTACGATGAGAAGCTGAAGACATTACACATGACATTTAAGCACTTAATAAAGTTGTCACGGCAACAAAACACGTGAGCGCTCGTCTAGAGCCTTTTATTCCAAAAACTAAGAAGTGATTAGAAACTAACTGCAGGTGATGCTTTCAGTCAACCTTCAGCTGAGTGCTGACACCTGTGAACTCATTTGTGAGGATTTAAAGTCTACCATCATGATTAAACGTAAAAAACAAACACAGAACTGAGCCGTAGAGGTCGTCGGTCAGCAAGAGGGAAGTGGGCCGGGGGCAGCACGGCTGATGATGACAGCGTGATCTCCAGTCTCAAATAAGAGTGTAAGCACGACCAGCAGCAAACCCTTCAAACGAAGCCTTCGGTGAGCGCTCCTTTCTTTAACAGCTTCCAGAGTTTTAAGATTTAAAGAAAAACTTTTTAAAGGAAGGGAGTCGGCACATCCTGCCAACACGGCTGATCGATGTCAACAGCAACTCGTATGCGTCACGATAGGCTATCAGTGCAGCCATCATTAATGAAATCACTCGACTTTAAGTCAGCAGTACACAGCTGAGCCCGGAAACTCCCTCCTTCACAGAGAGATGCAAATATTTCAAAGCTTTTGCAGTAAAAATGATTGTGTGGCAGCCCCGCAGCAGAGGAAGTACTGCGGTCTGAGCTTTTTCAGTAAGAGGAAGTTCAGGCTTTATTCAGTGGTTTAGACTCACTTAGGACAGCAGTCAGTACATATGAAGAAGCAGAGTACTGACAGAAACATGACTGATAGTCGTCGACCCAAAAGAGCAATAATGTTAAAATAAGAAATGACACTTCATTTAACTCTGAACGTGTCTGCTGTCAGATCATAGGTCTACCATCTTCACTTCTAATGCACTTCCACTTTAACAGTAAATCACTGAAAAAGTTCATTTTACTTTGAGAGGTGACGGTTTCAGGTCATATTTACATTTTCATAGCACAATATTTGTCTCCTTTCCTGCACAATACCAAGAAGTTGGCAAAGGGTAAGCTGCTCTATAATAAGGCTGCCCCTGAACAGTACAGGATAGAAAGAAATAGTTTGTTTTTCCACTAAATTACCAGGAAAGTAGTAACTGAAGCACCTGCAGTGCTTAACTTATTCATTTGTCTTCTGTAGCAGTGGTAGAATAGTTATGTTATATAGTTTATGTCTTGCATATTTCCACAACCATATTCATAATCACATACTGTGTATGCTACCGTTGCATATAGTGTATTATTTTATTTTTTAATTTGTTTGTACTTTTTTGGTATTTTTCCTTCTGATATCTGTACCTGAGCTAACGCAAAAACTTTCCCCGTCCTGGGATCAATAAAGTCTTATCTTAAAAATCTGACATTACTCCTTATTTTAGTGTACCTACCACTAAATATCAAGTGTAACCAAAGTGTTACCAAAACTGCTCTTACAGCAGCTCGAGTCTAATTTGTACAGGTCTGCTAGACAAATATAATATTTCTTATATCGGTCTGTATGGGGACCTTTTTTTTGTTCCCCTTGCTGGTGTAACAGGTTTAAAGGATCCATGTCCTGCAGGTGGGGCTCTGTGTATACACACTCCGTCTGTGACTCAGACAGGCTGCTGGGCTTTAAATGGGCGAGGCGTGTTGGTGTGCAATTCACCAAGTGACGCTAAAAAGGGAGAACTCAGAAAACCAGACTCTTGTTGACCCCTGTGACTTAAATCTAGTGATTACAGCAGCTCTCTGAACCCACAGCTGCACACTTACAGGTACATGAGGAGCAGGGTGCCCATCACCAGCAGGAAGCGGCTCAGGTTGGAGTTGAAGTACACGATCATCATCAGGACCCCGAATCTTGCAGCAGAGTACAACCAGTCCAGCCAATCGCGCTCCATGCCCTCCTCGTCCTCCACAACGGCTCCGCCCTGCGCATTCATCCGCATGTTCTGGTTGGCCTCCCCGGGGTTGATGAAAGCGCCATCCTGCACTGGATTCTGATTGGCTGGCAGGTTGTTGATGGGGTTCTGATCAGCTAGCGGGGCAGGGACGGGTACTTGGTGGGCGGGAACAGGAGGGTACTGGCCAATGGTTGGAGCTGTTGTGGGAATGCTGCCTGCTGCTGCTAAAGCTGCATGGCTGGTGATGGGAAAATGAGAATTAGTAGTCAGACAAACACAAGACGTGGCTGTGGGCGTAAAACCTTCAGTGTGTGAAGCAGAACTCACTATTGCATATAATACTGTCGAGCGTAGACATGCTGGAGCCACAGCAGCTGCTGGGGGCTGTACAGGGAGTAGGTGGGAAAGGTTGGCTGGGTCATCTGAGGAGCTCCAGTCCTGCCGGGGACATGACACAAGACTGTTAATCTTCGCTTCTCTTTAGGAAACAGAAATCATTTTCTGACATCTGCAGTCGTTTATACGCGAGAGAACATCTCTGTGCTGGGACTGTGTTTGCCTTCAGTCCCATACGTGGAGTGCAGCAGAAAGAGGCCGGTACGAAGCAGAGCAGGCACTGAGCGATGGTGGGTTGCAAAGCGGCCTGCAGATGCACAGCAACTGTAGACTAAAGCAGCTTTAATACGATGAATAAAATGAGATTTAGTAATTGTATGTGTAGAGCGGGGTCAGCGGAGCTCCAACTAACATCAGCTGATTTTGCTGCTATGCTTGATTGTTTTCAGTCTTCTTGGTTCCAGGAACTACACTCACCATCTCTGTTTGTTGGTGGTTACTTTTGAAAATTCAAAACACTTTGATGTTTGCTGTGAGCTCCTGAAACAGTGATCTTTGATACTGGTTCCAGAGGTAGTGCTCTACACTGCTTAAATGAAATTAACTACAAATTATACCTTAATCCACCTTAAAAGCAGCTACATGTTTGCAATTTAAAAAACGGCCTGACACAGAAAACAGTGGCCCCTCAGAAAGCACAACCTGCAAAGCTGTGGCTTCTTCCATGTTCTGCATCTTTATCACGACTGATGATTTTTAAGTTCAGCTTTTGGGGTTTTTGTTGAATGTCGCTGACAAACAATAACAAAGATCCAGAAATCACATGATCAGGATTCGACTGTTCTTCAGCTTTTAAAAGGTTAGTTTAACCGAAGGTCACTTGGTTTTGAAACTGGGATTCCCCGAGTGGGGAAGTGGAGAAGGGAAGTCAGCGATGGCTTACTGTACAGTTAGCAGTCATAGCTGCGTTGTATTAAAGGTGAATAAAAAAATGTTCAGTGGTTTGGCTGCATAGCGGTCATTCTCTATGACAGTGCAAACACTGCTGCGATGGATTAAAGCACACTGACACACAAGCTGAAGTTCTTCCTTTGTTGCTTACATGGCAGCAGGAGGCCACACAGGAGTCTGTGTGTGTGCTGGAGCTGCGGAGGCCGGCCTCCTCTGCCGCAGCTCTGGTGGGCTGGGAGTCTGGGCTGGTGTGGGCTGTGGACTGGAGGAATGTGGCTCTTTGGTCTGCAAAGGGAAGAAGAGTTTGATGTCATTTTTTTTCTGCAAACCCCCCAAAACAAAATAAAACAAACAAAAAATCCCCAGCAAGAAACATCTGCTGAGACCTGTGTTATCAGATCTACCACATTTTGTTTCTGCAGCTTTGTTTCCAGCTTGGAAGTGTACTGATACTAATGCATGCCAGCTTTAGTGTCTGGGCTGACTTCTGGTAGATAACAGCTGAAGCAGAACAGTTCCACTACACAGCGGGGCAACAATAAGGGCGGAGGTGAAGAAGCACATCTGCAGCGCTCTTTACCACAGTGTCTTGAGGTTACTTACAAAACCTCACACTGATTTCTTGATTGGAATTGGTCACCATCAGAGCCCAAACTAACTCAGTCTGAAAATATCCTCGAAACTTCAACAAAACTTACAAAATATTTAGAAAAGCATTTGAAGTGCAAACTAGGGCTGGGCCATATTATACCGTTCACGGTAATACCGGTATAATGTTAGGCAACGATAGGAAAATGAAATATCGCGATAGAATATGAGTAAAACGCGCATGCGCAGTGCCTTTGTTTTCATACGCACATGGCCGATTGTTGAGTGAAACAATGAACCAGAATTGGTTTGTAAAAATGGTGCAACTTCAGTGATGTGGAACTGGTTTGGTGTTTGTCCGTCAGATACACGACAAAGCACATTTTTTTGCAGAACATGCAAGCGGCCGTCGTTATTGTCGGACTAAGATGCTCTTAAATCTGGGAGTAATCTGGGTCCTAAACTCCATATCTTCAGGTCAAACGAACACTGCAGCATCACTGAGAGTTAAAAACTGTCTAAATTCTTTCATCTTTAATAAAACGATCAGCATTGCTGCTTTACCAGGTGTAACTATGAAGTTTAACTTCCAGGCATCCATGAAAACAAAATTTATTACATTTAACGGAGTTAGAAGTTAGCAGGAAGCTAGCGGAAGTTAGCTCGCTATCGCTAGTTACCTAGCATGTTCTGACTGAGAGATTTCTGAAAAAAATCAAACGTACAGCTCTGCTATCACTTCCAACATAAATGAAGACAGGAAACTAAACAGCAGTGACGTTTGTAGGGTTACTGAAGTTGGGCTAGCTGGTATATAATGATGTGCTACGTGATCGCTAGCGACACAGCTATGTTAGCATAACATAAACAGTGAAGCTGGAGGACGAACACTAACACTTTTCCACTTATAAAAGTTAACGTAAGGTTCCTATGGTTAGAGACAAATGCAATCGCATGGCAGGATGCTGTAAACGGACCAAACTTCAGTCAGGAGAACAACTGAGATAATCCATCCACAATACGAGGTTAGTCATTAATATACTGCAACAACATGGGAATAGAGCAGCTGCCAGAGAATTCAACATTAATGAATCAATGGTACAGAAGTGGAGGAAGCAAGAAGAATGAGTTTAATAAAGTTTGATTTATCTGACTGCTTTGTTTCGCTTAATGTGCCTTATAATCCCGTGCACCTATGGTCCGAAAAATACGTACTGCACACTGCAGTTTAATGTTGCAAAGCACCTCTTTTTAACTTCAGTGGATATTATACATGGTTATGCTCAGGATATGTCAGCCCATTTCTACTGGAAATGCCTTTTGGTTAAACTTTCAGCAAGGAATTTGCATTTGCACTGTTACATTTTTATAAAGCTTTAATGTACATAAAAACCAGCTTCTTGTTTAAGTGAAAATAAATGGAAGGTTGTCTTTTTGCGCTAGTAATGTTGTGGAGTTGTATTTTGTCTCGCATCAATTATATCGTCAGTTATATCGTTATCGCAAATTTTCAAATATATATCGTGATAAATATTTTTGGCCATATCGCCCTGCTCTAGTGCAAACTACACTGTTGCCTCAGCCAGGTGTCATTTCTGAGACACAAGGATGGTAACAGACGGCACACAAGGACGCTGTGTGAAACTAGCCTGTATGCAAACGTAGGGACACGAGGGCGGCATGAAGCCAGCTGCTTTGTTTACAGGAGCTCAGAATTCAAATACCTCACCAACAGGAGTTTCACTGTGAACATGCAGGTCTTTATAAAGCCAGGAGGACCGAAACAACGTGCTGATGTTAGAGAAAAGTCACTGGGTGTTACTTCTAAAGTGTTCTCACCTTGGGTCTGGCTCCCAGAGGTCCCTGGGCAGGATTCCTAACAGCACACACCAGGTGCAGTGTGGGAATTGAGTCCGTCTGTGGAAGTGGAGGTAAAACAGTTAAACAACATGTGACATCCACCCGACACATACAGACTTGTGTCTGAATGAACCCCGATTAAACTTTGAGAACCTCAAAGCCTGCAGAATTACACCAACATACGAGCTCTGGAGGCCACTTAACGTCACCTGTGTCGATCCCACAGACTCTGATTATGAGGCATGTTTACAGCCTGGTTTGAAAAATGTTTTGGCCTGCACTGACCGTGAATTTTTTTAGAACCCGAACGTACGATTTGGGGCGTGGCCACGGTGACTTCCATTAGTGCCATATCTAGGGATTGGTACCGGTGTCTGGTGCCATCATGGCACCGGTTCTGACATAAACGGTAGTAACCAGACTGAAAAGCAGCGCACATTTCGGTGCTTTATTTCGGTGCTTTTTTCCCCCTGAGATGTCATACACTTTAGATTCTAGCCAATCATTTTACGTTTCCGAGGATAGTAGGCGGGCCCAGGTACGTACGTTCTTTTATGCAGAGCTACAGATTAAAAATGCCCAAGGCGAAGCGGTCAAAGTCTGGCTGTACTTCACAGCAAAAGATGCAAACTCAGCAGCAACAAGTGCTTTAAGCTGATACTGTGATACTGTCAAAGGAGGTAACACCTCGAATCCGATGAAACACCTGGTGACGCATAGTGTTTTTTTTAAAAGCCCAGAAATGCGCCGTATTTGATAGCTTGCTGCGAGACCTCACAACGAGCACATCTACAGCGGGTGTGGTGCCTGTTATCGACCCGGAGTTAGCAACATCCCCCAAGAACCCGAAGAGGAGAGTCCTGGCCCCTAGCCCTGCCAGTGTAGCAGAAATGATGACGGATGATGATGGCAGCAGCAGCCGTTCTTCTCTGCGTGAGTAGCTTAATGTTGTTCGTGTGTAATTTACGTTGAGTAGGCTAACCACGTTATTACATTAATGCATGTAAGGTGAACTAGCAAACATCATCATAGCTACATGCTGCTGTCTTCTTGTTTGATAGAGTGATACCATATATGCCCTAAAGCTGCAGAAAAGGCTAACATTGTTATCTTTTTACAAACAGCTAAATATGAGAGGTTTTAGGACAAAGTTTGTGTTTTCCATTGTTTAAGCAGTGGTTCGAGCACCGTTTAAGCACCGGCACCGTTTCAAAAGAACCGGTTTGGTACTGGTATTGGATAAAACCTAAATGATACCCATCCCTAGCCATATCAGGCAGATGATAGGGGTCTACTAGCCTTCATCTGTGCTCATTTAAGCCACTGAACTAAACCAACTTGTTTGTGCTGTTGATGCTTCTGTGGAATCTTTTTCTCAGAAATAATGAAGTCATTTTGTACAACAGTGTCCAGGTTGTGACTTTTTCTTTTTGCATGTGGCCTTTCACTGCAGTGTGTGTGTGTGTGTCTGATAACCAGTGACAAATGAAAGGAAAAAAAAAACTGCACTCTTGACCCTTACAGTGAGGGAAGCATGGCTCTGGTACGGTATGAAGCTCTTCTGCTGGGTTTCTGTCTACTCAGAGCAGCCAGTGGTTCTCAAACTGTGGATGACCATGGGAGGAAAAAAAACGGACTACGCCAAATCAGTGATTTTTACAGAAAACAAACAAAAAAAGTCCACGGTTATTTTGTTTCGTTACAGCGCTGTATACAACTGAAATTTAAGTTTATATCTCCATCTCACCCTATCCCTGGCCTCCTTCACTACAGCCATGAATCCTCACTGAAGTCCTTTTCTTTTCCTCCTACCTCGCAGCACCATCTTCATCATCCTTTGTCCAATAGATCTGCTATTGTCCTCCCTGAACGTGTCCAAACCATCTCATCCTCAGCTCTCAACCTTCTCAGTCCGAGCTGTCCCTCTGTTGCACTCTTTTCTATAGTGGTTCCTCCCAGCGCTGACAGACAGTAAGATGAGTTTTGTTTGTTTTGTTTTTCTAGTTTATAAGGAAGTGGGGTCGGGCCCACATAACTAAGGCCGCAGAAGCTCCAAAGCTTGCGTGCAGGTTTTCTACAGCTGTATGCTGATTGGTTTACAGAATAAATGGCTGACAGCTCCTTTGTGCACGGTTGGTATTGTCTTACATCTATCATGCCTTCTCAGGCAATGAGCCTCTACTGGGATTCTTGAACAAAAAACATGAAATAGTCTGTCCTAGTTTTTGTGGCACAGCCCTTTCACAGGTCTCAGTAATTAATTACTGTGTACTTCCTTATTCTCCTACAAGCAGCAGTGAGAGCAGCCCTCTTCCACCAGTTTGTCACCAGCATAGTGGCACATAATCAGCTCGTGACATTTACAACTTGACATGACAGCTCGTGCTATCATACACACCTGTATGAAGAGTCCATTAATGTGCAGGTTATCAGGCAGCAGTTTGCCAGCGTAGATGAGCCTCTGGTCACTCACAGCCTGGAGACGAAACAAGAATAAAGTCAGTAACGAATCAGATCTCCTTGCTGCTTTGGGTTTGGTGGGGGAGCTTGTTTTTTTAAGGTACTAAACTGAAACCATGAAATATGGCCAAAGTTGAGTAATTTGTTTGCAGTAGATCACAAAGACTTATATCTAATTGTAGTAAAAAAAATAATTCTTAGTATCAAACAAAGAATAAACAATAAAACAAAGATTTTGATGAGAACATTTCGTAACCAGAAACACATGGCCAAGTTCCCACAACATTTGGGTAAACAGACGAAACCTGGCTCCTCACTTGAACCTTTTCAGTCCACTGCCTGTGCCTGGCTACACCCCACTGAAGCGTAGATCCTTTGCTTCTCTGCTTCCTGTCCAAAACTGATGTTTGACATGTGTAGTCCCCCCCGCCCAAGACACACCTCTGGATGTGGTCTGAATAGCACGAATGTTCCCGTGAAGTTGTACTTATTTCAGAGACTTAACTACAGAGAGATACCAAAACAACAGACAGAAACGCGTGTTCACTGCAGGTGTGTCAGTCACAGTTCAGTTTATTAATTAAACAGAAAAAATGGCATGACTGCGAGCTCGCGCTCATGGGACTCACAGGCACGCTGCGCTGGTTTCGTGTTAGCGCGCGCATTAAACACGCGCGTGACCCGGGAAATGGCTGACAGCTCCTTTTTACTCTCATCACATTCCACAGCACAGCCGCGAATAGCTCCGCCGCCCTCTGTGTAAACTCACCGGTTTGGTCGGGTAGACAGCGGACAGGTGCGCTTTCAGCTCCTTTATGGTCCACTGCAGGCTCACTCCCTCGATGGTCCGGTCCTCCTGAGCCTGGTTGGGCGTCTTTATGATGAGAGTGATCGCCTTTTGTTCAGAATTTCCTGCATCCATTTTTACCGTCTGCCGGTTGTAATGGCGATGTGTGAGCTAGAAAAACAGGATGTCTCCGTGACTCGCTGGACTCCCTAACACGAAGAGCGGCCGGGGGAAAGTGCGTCTTATGTCAAAGAGAAACTGCAGTGACCTGGGTGGCTCTAGAAGTGTCTCCGCTGGTCCTCATACGGGACTTTAGAGGAGGAATGTTGTTTCCAAACACACTGTGGCCGCTCCTGATTGGCTACCGTCTGCTCGTGCTCAGACGTGGAGGTTTGCAGAATATTCGCCGCTTGAGCATGCGCAGTTATGATTATGCTTCCAAAGATCGTTTATTTAGGAATAACCCACACTCTGGCGCCATTTGAGAAGGTATCGAAAAGCAGAGATAAACGCGCTTAGACCCGGGCTAAAGTCCAAGTAAAAAGCGAACACACACCACCAAAGCGAAACATTTGTATGTTTTCTTTTGTACACTTCCTGTGAGCTTTCTTCAAGGTTTTGCTGTTGCTGTTTTCTAAAACACAGTCCTAGTGAGAGCTCCTGTCAACTTCCGTCTCTGATAAGAGACGCAAAACTATCTCAGCTGAAGTTGCATCAGGCATGTTACATCAGCTGTAAACTTTCAGATATTCCCACAAGATGTATGCAGAAAAGTGAACGGAGCCACAAGATGTTAACGACACGTCTGAGCAAAACATCGGAATATAAATACTGCCGTGAAAAAATGACCAGAAACTACAACAGCACCTTTAAACATTTTTAATACTGTATCATGTTTTGATTATATGCATATACTTACAAATACAAGTATTTATTAATTTAATGATCGATTTATTACATAGCTCGTTGGTTTAACTACAAGAGAGTTACAACAAGGACATGTTGTGATACCGTGTGTTCCCATTGTACCTCATTACCTTAATATTAAAAAGAGTACTGAAGACTTTATTTACAAAGTTAAATTAGACTGATGGTGAAGCTATAGGAGACCATTGCTCCTGTGCCACAAATCAATAAATAGAAAGATTAAAAAAAAAAAAAGAATCATTAGCATTTTCTGTCAATATCAATTATCTGTCAAACAAAGACCTGCATAATTATTTCAATTATTTATGTTAGCTATATTTATTATTTTTTATTGTATATTATGAAGTGGAGCGTGCAACATTAGCATGAAGGGACCCTAACTGACAAACAGAGGACACTGTACAGTAGACGTCTTTTGACAAATTTTTGTGATCAGAGTTAATCAAAATGTAATAAAGCATTTCATGTGCTCATTACTTAAGAAAGTACATTCACTGATACCTGAAAATCAAATTACAAGAAATAAATCTATGGAAAAATAAATGTCTTCTGTGGCCTGAAAGGTGTTGTAATGTCAGGATAACTGGTTTCATATATGTCCATTGGTCTCACTGGAGATGTTACTGGCAGTAAAAGGTGAGAACGTTCTCCTGGTTTCCTCTGACCAGGAGGACTGGAGGTCTCAGATCACGAGACAAGAAGTCGAGCCACGCTAGGTAGAGCGTGCTGGGACACACTCCTCTCCTCCCCACTGGCATGGTGCTGTCAGGAAACACAGCAAACAGCTGATTTTCACCCAGTAACAAAGAGCTTGAAACATTCTCAGGTGAAAGCTTCACAACACCTGTAAACTCAGCACTTTCCATCATTTATTAAATAAAAGCAGAAAAACTACTCACGTTATAATGAGAGCGGCCTCTCTAGAGTAATCCAGCAGTACCTCATTTAGACGGATCTGGCGAAGAGACTGAATTCCACAGGAAAAAACAAACAAAAGGTTCAAACTAAGACGGGATGCGCGAGGAAAGAAGAAATGTTTTGGCTTGGTTTAAACATATTTGATCAGTTTGTGTCTGACCTTGGCCTTGTTCTTCTCGAAATCCTGGTCTGTGATCATCCAGGGCTCCTGATGTTGGCTTGCACATCCAGAATCTGAGTCCGGCTTAGAATTTGTATCCACCCTGAAGCGACTGACCATCTTCTCAAACTGATGGACACTGAAGCACACAGAGACAGAGTTTGGAGTTATTCCATCTCAAATCATCGTCGGCCTTCTGTTCAACTGTCTGGTTTTAAATTTTAGCTTCACATATCATACTGTACTTTTCAAGACATCTTTTTTTTTTTAAGTCTTTCAAATTCATTTTTCATTTAAATAAATCAGCTGTAGTCTGAGATAGACACATTATAAAATAAATAAATAGGGAAGCTAAAACTTTATATCTCCCTATATATGCTCAAACTCTGAACCAAAACAATTCTGTTCAAATCTGAGACGCCCGAGCAGAAAATGTAAAACAAATTGCTGATTAGTTTTAGAAGAATAAAACTCCTAAATTCAGCTAAATTGAATATTTTTCAATGCAGCAGCTCATATATTAAGTGAAATCTTAAAACAGTTATCTAAAGATTTTTCTGAAATACTGTGTTCAAATATATTCTTTGTCATAAGCAACAATCTCTAAAGTCAGCATGGCGCCAAAAGCTGCAGTTCGTCTAATGGCCACTAGAGGCCGCTTTCAAAAGTGAGTCAGTCCTCAGACTCTCCCGGCTCTTCACAACAGCTGTTTGGTGGGTGGGGATATTATAAAAGGTTAAAGTTAGTGATTTGGCTAATTTACTTCATGTACCACAAAAAAACCAACCCTAAAATAAAAAAACAAAACAAAAACTGAGTGATCGGGATTCTTATGATAGCTGACAGCAGCTTTTTTGGCTCACATTCCCAAACATCCATCCTTCATTCTCATCTTACTTCATCTGCTGAGGAGGCTGGTTGATTTCAGGAAGGACTTCGACACTATGGAAACCGAGACGGAACTTCTTGATGAGCTCCAACACCCTGGAAAGAGAACGTGAGGCTGGAGTGAGCACATGTCTAACAGCATGCAGTCTGTGTCTGCGAGAACGCAGGATGCCAGACCATATACTGCATTTCCCCGTTTCTTGGGAAAACAAAGTAAGTGTTTCTGATGGAATATAGACTGATGATGATGCAAGATTGTTCAATTTTACGTGAAAACAGCAAAACATGGCTGTCAGTAAGATTATTTTTATATTACTGACCTATTAAAAAACAAACTACAGTTTGACTCTAAAGTGCTGCGTTCCTGAGATGATTTGGGCATTTGGAAAAACTCCAAGAGAAGAAAGAAACTTTTTGAAGCGGTCTACACTGTAGACCTGTGCGTGATACTTACTCCTGCTTCTGCTCGTCCTTTTTCTCTGCGTCTCCTCCCACAAACACTCGGACCTTACACTTGGCCCAGCGCTTTCTGCGGGTCAGCAGGTAAGGCAGCAGCAGGGTCAGACCTGGAATACACACACACACGCACGAGGGGTAAATGTCTGTGGACATTCTTGAATTAAGACATAAAGCAGGCGACTAATGGAGATGTACTCGGACCTCCATCATCAGACAGCCAGTACACGTCGATGGTCTTCTTTCCCTGTTTTTTCTGAAACTGTGTACTATGCTGAGGCTCGGGCTCGATGGAGACAGAAGCTGCAAACAGACAACGCGTTTTATAGAATTTAAATGACACCATAGAGGGTCTTTGGGTATTCTGTGTGTCTGTGATATTATCATGCATTTACACACATGTGGGGCTTGTCTGAACGCAGGAAGGAACAGAGATGCTGTTGATGCTCTCTGGTCCACCGTCAAAACTTGGATTAACTGAAACAAAAACAAGAAATTTCTTTGCACATTCATTTATTTGCAGGCAGCTACTTAAAAGATGATGGATAAATGTGGACTGCACATCCTAGCGCGCCTCTTGTTGATGCCAAGAGCAAAGTGCCGTGGGAACGTAGCAGTGGCTGCAGCATCCCCGGGTTCATTGATGTGCAGCCTGCTGCGATATGCATGCAGGCTCTCACCGTGTGACTGAGATGGACTGGAGACCTCTAATCCCTCTCTCATCCTCAGCACGCACACGCCAAACTGCAGGTCGAACGCATCACTGAAAGCGACATTTAAATGAATGACCATGTGCATCAACACACACTCGAACCCTTTAGCTTTTATGGAATTAAGGTTCAGTTTTTAAACAATAAATATTTGATATCGCAAAAATAATACTCTGTTAGCAATACTTTATCAGCGGTATTGGTCATAAAAGTTTTGTGGCTTACCGCATTACTCCTATGTAGTTGTGAGCAGCCTGAGGTGTGTCACTCCGCCAATCTTTCTTGAAACCCATGATGAGAACATTTGGCTTCACACGGCCCAAACCTGCCCCCTGGTGGACAGTCATAACACCAGCAGGTGAGGATTCACAGGTGTGCTTTCCACACCTCAGTCACATCTCAACTATAAATTACAGTATTTCACCCCTGACCTGTAGCAACACGTTAACGCCAGATTGCAGATCTGCAGCCACCACTCCTCTGTAGAACGACCCGGCCTTCCTTTTGTTGAGCCAGTTCAGGTGACTGTCGCTCATGGCCTTCTCCAGTACTGAAGGAGAGGGATCATCCTGCGAAACACGGGAAGGGAGAAAGATTTCATCACTCCGCTTTCAAACAATTAATCATTGTTCCGATTATTGTTTGGATTTATTGTGCGATCAGTGGGAGAACTCACAGTTAACACATTTCCACACAACATAAGACTGAGATCTTTTGTGAAACAGCTGACGAGGTCCACCAGGGCGGGGCGACTGCTGGGAGGGCCCGTTAGCACCAAACACTGGGGCCTGAAAGTGTTGGAGTTAGATACGGAGCAGTTTACCCTTCATGTCTCACGTATTTTGTTTTTTCTCTTCCTGGAAAATCACTAAATAAACTTCTATCAGTCCTACTCTGCTTTTTGTATCTTGGTGCATAAGCTAGACTTTACCATTTATTTTTGAGGGGCATGTCCTTGGTGACCAAGGTCATTGCAGTCCTGAAAAAAGTCACTAGACTTCATGTCTTCATGAATCCAGAAGAAGTTAAAATAAGCATCAATCGTTCCAGAAACATTGGTTCAATCTTAGAACGTAAAAGTAAAGAAAGCTTTGCTTTAAAAGTGTTCTTCCTCCCCACCGTTGCCATAATGTCATTATGAGGTTAGTGAAAGTAACTGAAGTGTTGATAAAGTCCTTCAAAACAAACTTTAAACTACTGCATTTCAACCGTGGATCCAACTTTAGTAATAGTATAAAAAATGGTAACACTGTTGCAAACTGAATG